CACAGACACTGTTACCATTCTTATTCGTGCTGGCTCTTTCTTACAAATAAGGAAACAATCTATGTCAGGTCCAGACAGCCCTTCCTCTGTAAACAGAGTGAATGCCCGTTAGGGATTGACGTTATTTCAATCTGATTGTTCCGCCTTTCCAACATGTACTTTTATATTACATGCATTTTACATTTTATATCGTAACATTTATTCTCTCGATTCCAGCTTTGTTGAGTGAGTGAGAGTCCAGTAGGCTGTTTTTTTTTTTTTTTTTTTTCATGAACGGTAAAGTTAGTCTTGCCCTTTTATTTTCATAATAAAGTTCTGTACCCTTAAGAGAAAATTATTATATATATATATATATATATATATATATATATATATATATATATATTGTTGTGGTAGGATCCACCTAATTTGCATAGTGGCGTACCGACCATATAAATATGGTTGGTACCGGGAAGAGAGGGAGGAATCAAGAGATTCAACCAGAGACTCTGCCCGACTGCGACTAAGTCAACACATTCTCCAGGAACGGTCTTACCAGGAATATACAAAAGACTACATGTAAATATTGTGTACACTTTCTTGTTTCAATATATTTTGTTCTAAGTACATTTTGTGTTGCATTATTATTCCATGCATTAGTCAAGTTTCAACAGTATGTCGAGAGAAAAAGAGCGAGAGAGCGAGATTAGAAAAGATACAGAGAGAGAGAGAGGTAAGGTCGATAAAAAAGCTACAGCGATGTCTTGAGAGAGAAGGGTCGAAGAGAAGAGAATGAGAATATTAATGAGTAGGAAAAGAGAGAGAGAGGGGGGGAGGAGAAAGGGAGAGAGAAAGGGAGTAAGAGAGAGAAGATTAATCGAAAGAACGGGAGATGCGTGTTGAGAAAAGGAGGAAAAACTTATAGAGTAAGAAAAGGGAGATAACGAGCGACAGAAGGTGAAGACAAAAAAAAAACAATGAAAATACGGTAAATCCTGATAGCAGCAAAAAAAAAAAAAAAAAAAATGACCGAGACAAAAAATAAAAAAAAACGGTCAAGCGGACAGGCAAACAATAAAGAAACAGGAGAAAAAAATGCAAAAGAAAACATCTAAGAATAAAAAAAAAAAAAAAAAAAAGAAAAGAAAAAATAACGAAATCAAAATCGTGCCAAATAGAATTTCCTCGATTGAGCAAATGTCCGCAGGGGAGCCGATGTCCAGTCTGCTCTCATCAGCCGGACAGAGCCATCGAAGCGAACAGTGAACTGTCCATCTGAAGCGAGGGCATTATAACTATAACAGGTGGCATTTGCAGAATAAGCATCGGTAATTCTCAGATATGCTTAATTCCAATCCATCTTTTCTGTTTATTTGTTCCTCCCAAAGGAAGATACCATTAAGTTAAGGCGTCAAGGTGTCGGGGGATAGCCTCTCTGGATAGGATAGTTTTTGTTGGCGATCACTGGCTTGAGTAGTCCCTGGACAGTCCGTGTTGCCTGCTCGACCAAAAGGCATATCGATTGAATGATGGTCAGAGATGATAATCACTCAGATATTTCTTTTTAGATGGATGGCTGTTTTTGTTCTGTAATGCTTTTTTTTTTCGAGTCCGTTTTCTGTTTACGTTTCGGGTACTAATGGCTGGCCACTGTGGGAGACAAATTCAGGACTTTGTAAACACCATAAAATACGAGATCGCTTGACCGGAATATTGTATATTTACACTCTATTTGGTGTGAGCCCCAGTAGCACTCGTACATGGATCCGTTTTATTTCAGTAATCACACGCACACAGATCTAGGCATGCATAAACACAATTGCCAATTCAAATCTTCTATTCACCGCTTCATTTAGATCATGGATCTTTATAATTTGCTATCTGGTGTTGGCTCACATCACGTTGAAACACTGGTCACTGTAGGAATTTTTAAAAAAATCGAGTTCACCTCTAGTAAGGCAGTAAAGCCGCTAAGACACAAGAAGTGGCTGGGTGTGTAGAATTAGAAAACAGAAACATTACTAAGGAGCGAGAAGAAAAGAAGTACAATCAGGAGGACAAGCGATTGACATTGCATTTAACTTTTGGAAGTTGGCTGGAAATCATAGAGCCAGCAGAGAGTTCCACAAACGAGAAAAGAAACTGTTAACATAGAACTTACGGTTCAATTGTAGAGACCTCTTCTCCAGGCTAGTACAGCGCTCAAATTCAAAAAGCCAAGGTAACTTGCCGAAGATCTTTTCCAAAGAGTTGCCATGAAAATATTTATAGAAAAATGAACAGGGAAGTAAATTTACGGCGGTGGGAGAGCAATGGAATCCGAGATGCCATATCAGGACCAATAACTAAATAATTCTATTCATTTTATCAAGGATCTCTAGATATATAGCAGGAGCACCGGACCATATTTGGCAGCAATATTCTAAGCATAGTCGAATCGTAGACGAATAGATATGTAAGATAGATTTTGGCGATAAAAATTGTCTAACACGACAGAGTGAACTAATCTGATACAGCTGATCTAGCAATGGGTTCAGCATTATCTTTCCACTGATTTCCTGGTGGTTAGCATAAGCCATACTGATGGACGGCGGAAAGAAATTGCTCAGGTGATTAATACAAAAAATAACTATTTAAACAAGAAATAAAAAAACAAAAACAAAAAAAACAAATATTCAAGAAATATGTGTCCTGCTGATGACACCGGAAATGACGTAGCTACATCCTCTTTGGACACTCAAAACCGAAAGATAGAGAAAAGAAAGAAAAGTAATTGTTGTGGATTCTGGGATGAAATCCGGTCTCAAATGAATGACAAACGCAGGAATGAAATATAGCAAATAAATGTATTGACGTAATAATACAATTGGTAATACGGTTAGTAGATCCAGAAATGCGGTTAGTAGCAATAATAATATATATACAGTCTGGGAAATTCAGTATCGAAGTAGGACTTCCTTCTGAGTTTACGTGCTCGCAACTGTGACTCCTACAAAGCGGTTGCCTCACACTCTCACTCTCTCACTGTCTGACTTCCGGGTATTCACCGGCAGCAGTACAAGTATACACTGGGCGAGTCCACTTGTATAAAAAAGGGGTGGACCCCTCAACAGTAATAATGAGAGAGAAAATTATGAAAAGAAGAAAATAACCACTACATCCTACATATGTGCACATACAGGCGTACACACACACGCAGGCACGTGCGCATACACATATACACACGCACGCGTGCATACGCGCACACACACACATACACACGCAGAAGAAAAAATAAAAAAAATTGCATAAATTATATTATTTTAACTTAATATAAAATTAACGCAAATGACAAAATCAAGTGGGATTTATTAATATCTCCTGACGAGTGGACCGAACGATTACACAAACGTTTTTCTACAAAATTCTAGAACAGAGATGCTGAATATAGCATTAAGCTGCTAAGTGACAAATTTTGTATTAATCACACACACACACACACACACAAACACACACACACACACACACACACACACACACACACACACACACACACACATATATATATATATATATATTGCGTTTATTTTGGAAGCATGTTTTCATTAAGCCATGTCTCATTGAATAATTTAGACAAGTTTTGTTTACTTATTTTGAATAGTATCTTCTCATACTCACGGATAAGTTTCTTAGTATCCGTATTAAAAGAGAAAAAATACCATGATGATACATATTCCTTTATTCCGAATACTTTCAACATTAGCAAAATGTCATCATCAGTCTGGGTTTTTTTTTTTTTTTGTAAGACAAAATTGTTTTGTTCATCTGAAAGGTATATTTTTTAACCGTGAAGTGAAAAACGCTAACGTTATATACTGTACCAATAAATACATTTCTTAGTAAAAACAAATTAATTATATACTATACTAAATTCATTATATCCAATATAATCATTCGTAATGTCTCTTCCCCACAAACTAACGTGTTGCAGAAAACCGATATTGTATATAAATTTAAATGTGTCTTGGGAGATTGTTTCTCGAACAGAAAAAAATAATATATATGTTGGTCATACTATTACTACGTTGTCTCGACGGTTGAATTTTCATTTGAATGATGCATCAAACATATCTAAACATTTACAACAGCATGCCATCATGAAAATAATAATGATAAACTAAAAATTCTTGAAGCTATCGATATTAAAATATTGAAACAACCCTTGATAAAATTCATTAGAAGTTCGAAACGATTAAGAATTTAAATCAAGGAAAACAAACCGAGTTGATGACTTTTGAAACGTAATAGCAAGTCGAGGCATAAAAAAAAATTCGGTTTGTTTTCCTTTAAATTTATAAGCGTTTCGAACTTCTTTGTACTGTTTACTCAAATTAAGGAGTGATCAAGACAGGCAACTGCTAGCCGAAATATTTCCATAAAAAAGATAAATCATTCTTTAGAAGTACAAGTTTTTTCTTTCTTTTAATTATACAACGACCAACGGAGACAAACATCCTACCTTTGAAAATGGAAATAAAAAGTTGATAATTTGAAATATTTTTCCTTAAAGAAAAAAACGATCATTATTTATACTTATCATTGTTATTGTAATATTTTGTTAAGTTCAAATATTTACCAAATGCCATAGAGAAATTTCCGCCGATATTTTATATTCGTAGAACTCACCATGTCCTAAAATTAAGAATTAAGTATTCAAATAGCCGTGCATTTTTCACAGGTATTTCTAGTAAAAGTATAAATTGCCAGCAGCCATATATACACATACACAACATTTTCGGCGCCAAGATTTAGAGGCTTTTCGGATTTGAACACGCGCATGCGCACAACAATTTCAAGAAAGAAAAAAAATGACGAATTTGAAAATAAAGAGAAGGCGAACCGATGTCGGTCGCCCGTCTGACAAATCGCCATAACAAAATTAGATTCAAATCTCCAATAAATCAAACTGGTTTCCAACGGCGAAATTGCCAGGCTATGGTGGACGTGACAAATGCCCATTTAGTAGCCACATCTTCGGCCCTATGCCATCAAATGTGCCATTAATATCGACTAAGTTTTATTGTGGCGCACCACCGGAGCTCATTGGTAACACTATTCGTAACGCCCAAGGTGGAATTAACTTAAAAGACCCGAGAAAGCTACCATAGCGTAGATATTGATGAATATTTTTTTTTTATTGGACGAAGTCGGATTTATTTCCCTTAGATGTAACTTAGTACGTTATTTTAAAAGATTTTTTAAAAAACTTTAGTTCATCCATAGATAACTACCATATTTGACGGCATATAAGGCACAGTTTCTTTTTACTAAAAATATCTTTTAAATTTTAGGTCTACTAATTTTACTAATTACTAATTTTTTCTTGATTTTGCCCTGCTTAAATTAGGGTGCGTTTTATACACCCGTGCGTCTTATATGCCGTTAAATACGGTAACTCATTTTAAAGCGATCAACTGGAATATCACGTCAATTACTTTATGTTTGAAGAGAATAATTTCCTATGTAGAATTAATCTTTGTATATTTGTGTTGATGGATTCAACCGCTTTCTTTTGATTTCTTGATATATTATTTGTTGTGTACTTTGGATTGGGAGAGTATGTTAGGTATGTTGATATTGGGGCAAAACCTGGGCGTAGATTAATATTTGGATAATATTCAATGGCAGCACTCTCGAGGATTTATTTATTTAATCAAATGTTTTGGGAATTAGGATAATCCCAGGATTGAAAATCTGGGCTTCATATGGAACTTAAGCATCCAGCATTGCGATATGTGTCTGGTGAGGCGGGAACCTTCACAATTTCTAATTTTAAATAAGTGAAAAGAATTAGTGATTTTAAAATCCACAGGAGCGAGCTTAATTACATATCTTCTTTATCATGTATATATATATATATATATATATATATATATATATATATATATATATATATTTATTTTTTATGTCACTCCAGTATAAGGTTAAAATTGTGCAGTTGAAAATCTCAAGGAATTTATTTTGACAAGAGTTCGCTAAATATTACGCGTCAGTTATTTTATTTCTCGCTTCCATTTCTCTGACATTTTTCTTTTTTTTGGTGTGGGGGGGTCTTTGGGTCTTTCTCTCTCTCTCTTTCCCTTTCTCGCACAGACAGACACACGCATGCGCATGCAAACATACCTATGTTATATATACATGAAGTGGCCCACAAATCAAATCGAGATATGCCGTTAAATGAAATGGGGAGCTTATCAGGTGCAGTGAACGCATGCGCAGTTTAAAACGGAGTCTAATTTTGCTTCAGGCCAAGCAAAAACTCATGAATTTATGAATAAAGAACGGCCGCTCTGAGGACACTCCTAAAGTTTTAATTAATCAAGGGAAGGATACCGCGAAAGATGGTCACAAAAATAAAAGGTTGCGTTGCTCTCTGTATGTACGAAGAAGCATATATATATATATGTATATTTTTTTTTTACTTCAAAATATTCATACATTGAAAGTAAGAATGTACTCTCAAATGGTTAAGAATACGATCACTTTGTTTTTTTCCTCTCTTTTTCTTTTCCCTTTTTCCTTTCCCCTCTTTTTTCATTACCCATTTTTTCTTTCTTTTTGTTTCATCTCTTTTTCTTTCCCCTCGTAACTCTCCTCTCATTTTTCATACCTCTCTTTTTCATTCTCCTCTTTTTCATTCGTCTCTTTTTCATTCCCATCTTTTTCGTTACCCTCTTTTTCATACCTCTCTTTTTCATTCTCCTCTTTTTCATTCGTCTCTTTTTCATTCCCATCTTTTTCGTTGCCCTCTTTTTCATACCTCTCTTTTTCATTCCCCTCTTTCCATTCCCCTCTATTTCATACCTCTCTTTTTCATTCACATCTTTTTAGTCTCCTCTTTTTCATTCCCATCCTTTTCATGCCTCTCTTTTTCATTCCCCTCTTTTTCATTCCCCTCATTTTCGTACCTCTCTTTTTCGTACCTCTTATTTCATTCCCCTCTTTTTCATACCTCGCTTTTTCATTCCCATCTTTTTCAGTCACGTCTTTTTCATTCACATCTTTTTCATTCCTCTCGTTTTCATTCCCCTCTATTTCATACCTCCCTTTTTCATTCCCATCTTTTTAGTCTCCTCTTTTTCATTTCCATCCTTTTTCTTTTTTCATTCCCCTTTTTTCATTCCCCTTTTTTCATACCTTTTTTTCATTTTCATCTTTTTCAGTCACCTCTTTTCATTCCCTCTTTTCATTCCTCCATTCCCTTTTTTTTCATTCCCTTTTTCATCCCCATTTTTTAGTCCCCTCATTTTCATTTTTTTCATCCCCATTTTTTCATTCCCCTCATTTTCATACCTTTCTTTTTCATCCCCATCTTTTTCATTCCCCTCATTTTCATACCTTTCTTTTTCATCCCCATCTTTTTCATTCCCCTTATTTTCATACCTTTCTTTTTCATCCCCATCTTTTTCAGTCCCTCTTTTCATTTTCCATCCCCATCTTTTTCAGTCCCATTTTTTCATTCCCCTCTTTTTCATACCTCCCTTTTTCATTCCCATCTTTTCATTCCCCTCTTTTTCATACCTCTCTTTTTAATTCCACTCTTTTTCATTCCCCATTTTTCTTTCTTTTTTCTTTTCAATCTTTTGCTTCTTCTCTTTTTCACTCTTCTGTTTTTCTTTACTCTTTTTCTTTCCCCTTTTTCTTTTCCACCATTTTTCTTTTCTTAATTTTTCTTTCCTTCCTTTTTGTTCCTTTGCTCTTTCCTTTCTCCATTTGACGCTTTTCTTTATTTTTCCCTGTTTTTCTTCACACCTTTTTTCTCCACTTTTCTTTCTACATGTTTTCTCTCGTTTTTCTGTTCCCTATGATTTTCTTCTCTTTTCTTTTCCTTATTTTCTTTCTATTTTTCTCTTTCCACTTTTATTTCCCCCCTTTTTTTACTTCTCTTTTTATTTTCCCTCTTTTACATTTTTTCTTTCCTACCTTTTCCCCCCTCTTTTCTTCTTCTCTTTTTTGCTTCTTGACTTTTTTTTCTATCCTTTTCTCTCTTTTATTTCATCTCTTTTTCTTTCTCCTTTTTTATATCGCCTCCTTTTATTTTGCCTTTACTTTCTGTTATTTTCTATCAGTGTTATCTTCCTTCCCCCACACAGCACTTATATATATATATATATATATATATATATATATATATATATATAGAGAGAGAGAGAGAGAGAGAGAGAGAGAGAGAGAGAGAGAGAGAGAGAGAGAATATATATGTATATATAGAATATATATATATATGTCTGTGTGTGTGTGTAGAATATTTAGAATTCAAATGTATCTATGTTGTCATGAAGCTCTGAAAAACAGTTGATATTAACGTTTATTCCAACTTAATTTCAATAAAAAGAAAATAAATAGAACAACATATATATTTTTCTTTCTTCCTCAGTAATTTTATAATTTTAAACTTAATAGAGATTAATTTTTAAAATGGGTAATTTTAATTTTTTATTTCAAATTTTATCGTATAATTTAATACTTATTAGTTAGAATAAATTCTATTTTAATCTAACCGCAACATTAAGATATTAAATACTTATTATAACCTTCGTTGTCAAGTTTTTTGAATTCTCGTATACTTGTATTTTGATTGGTCATTCCAGCTTATGTAACAGCGTTTCCCCTTGCAAGGGGTGTTTGATTGATTTGAACATTTTAAAAACCTTTATTCTACATTCAACATCATCACTTGATAAGACACCAGAGGTGCTGAAACAAAATGCCTATCTTTGTAGTGATTTTATAACATATTCATGTTATAATTTTCGAATAAATAGTTATATATATATATATATATATATATATATATATATATATATATATATATATATATATATATATATTAAAATGGTTCAATATAATTAATAAAAGATGTAATTAATATAAAAAGGTTTAATTTGTTAAAATATACTTTTTGGGTATATTTATGTCTTAAAGAGCTCAACATCAAGGATAGGGCGTGTTGAAGTATAAAAGTGGGCACTGAAGTCTATATGGCGACAGTTTGTTTCAAATTCTTAGACAACAATATGAGGGGGAGCTGAAAAGTTATCTACCCACTCGTAGAAATGATATAAACGGAGAAAAATCTGTGCCTAAATCAGAGAAAAATGAAAGCGTTATATACCCAAATCATTTGGGTGCGTTATATGTCATTTCCGTTTTGGGGAACCGATTCTAATGACGAATGTATCATCGTAACTACTAATTATATATGACATTTAATAACAGCCAATTGGAAGGCACTAAGGAAGTCTTAAAGAAAATGGCAACATAAAGTGTAAGGGAAAGCCAGTTGTAATTCCTTGCAAACATCATGAGGAAAAATGGCTTGGGAACTTTACCCATACTGAGACAGTTTGGTTGTTAGCAAAATGGCAGACCAAAGTGCGAATTGGAAATCGGAGATGCCAAAATCAAATAGGTGTGGAAATTTAAATATCCGGGATTTATTTTAACAGTGGACAGTGGACGGAAAGTATGACACTGAAATCCGAAGCTAAGCAGAGTACTAAGAAATTTAAACTCTTCGCTAAAAACAAACGGCCTTCTTCAGGTTTCTTTAGGCTTCAGTTCGGCATTCCAACCACCTGAAGAAGGCTGGAGCGTATAACGGCCGAAACGTTGTATTAAATATGGCGACAAAGATGAGGACAATAGTCTGAATAATGTAAATAGTATACATAATACCTCATCTCAGAAATATAGACAGATACGGAAAGGCCGAAACGTTGTAATAAATATGGTGACAAAGATGAGGACGATAGTCAGAATAATGTAAATAATGTACATAATACCCCATCTCAGAAATATAGACACATACTGAAAGAAAATACTATTCAAATTATTGATAATAATAATTTAACTGAGGCTGACATACGTGAACTAAGGAGAAAAGCTACGTAAGCACGCAAGTGAATGCTATAAACTCGACTGGAATTCGAACTTGGCTCGCCTATTTCTCAATCTGAGCCGCTGTTCATCGTGCTTCCAGAACAGAAAAGTCTAAAACTTAGTGATTGTTATGTTAGAATTTCGTGAAAATTTGGTAATCTTTAATAATAATTCCAACACCTGTCTACAGGTATTCGATAAAAGTCGTAATCATTCTTTAAATGAAAAAAAGAAAAAAAAAAACATGAAAATTGTTTTTTTGTAATTTTATGCTGGAATAAATAAATTGGAATGCTTAAATGAAATTTTATGCGAGAATAAATAAATTCGTATTCTGAGTATTTTTCATTTTAAAATGCAGCTGTCAAGATCCAAAAAGCATTATTTATTTTTTTGGCGAACTCCAGCCGACAAGATAAATAGAGGGCGAAACATTTTAACCAGCAAAATATGCAATAAAAATAGAAACAAAATATTTGGCAGTAGTTTATTCGGATAGATAGACTGGAGTGATCACGGACAATGAGTTAGTTTGCATTTTGGAATAGATTGTTCTTCCTAAAGAGAACTCTGTCTTGATATCCCAAGACTAAATTTGATGTTCCCTTAATTTCTAAGAAAACATCATCTAACATTCTTTGTTTTAACTTCTTCCTGAACTCGATCCTTAAATCATCATCTGCGGAGGAATCGACCGATATTTTTTTGTTCATCGTTTGTATCTTCATCATCGTTATAGTATCAAGGAAAGAAAATAGCAAATTTACTGAAAGGCAGTTAATCTCTGAGCCCTAAACAAATAGGGACACTCACCAGACCCTAAGAAAAGGAAGTAAACGAAGGCAAAAGAATGACGAATACTTTAATAAGTTGAGGAAACTCTGGCTAATGATAGAAAAAAATAACAAAGAAAGATAGGACGATGCGGCAAAAACAGGACTGTCCCCAGCGCAGACACTGTCAGTCATACTTTGTCGACTGAACGGTATCTTTGATGGATGGACTTATCAGTAGGATCGCGCTAAAAAGATGGTGCGTACCAAATTAACGAAGACAGATACTAATTCTACAAGCAGGAACGATAACACTTCTACAATTAATATAATAGCTACCATCACTACGCGTGGTGGACTCCAATTGCTATCGCAAACAAAGGCTTCGGTAACGACCGGACACTGTTTGGATTGAGATGGAATAGACGAGAACTGGGAAAGAGAGGTCACGGATAGAGGGTTAGTGGTGGACATATGGTGACTGGATTGATATTTTGGAAAGATGAGTGATGTGTAATCAGTGCTAGGAGAAGATTCTGCTTATCAAAAGCAAAAAGAAGCGAATTTGGCGTTAAAATAATGTACTGAATGCTATTTAGATGAAAAGGAAGAATAACTGAAAGAGAAGAGTCAAAAGAGAGAGTGAAAAAGAAAGAAAAGAAAGGAAAGTTCATAACTTGAAAAAAGGGAGAGAAGGAAGAGTAAAATGATATAGAAGGAGGAAAATAGAAAAGAAAAAAAGATATAACTATTATCATTACACTTTTCAGAAAAGACGTTATGTTTAATAATATTTAACAATATTACGATAGTGTTATCAAGTTATAGATAAAAAAAAAGAAGCAAGAATGCATCCAAAATTGTTGTAATATACAAGACGTTCATCTGGAACCTTTGCAATATATAAGACGCTCTTCTGGAAATATCGCAAAACAATGGACACTCTACTGGAAACGTTGCAAAATATTGAACATTCTTCTGGAAGTGTTGGGAAATATTTGACGCTGTTCTGGAAGAGTCGCAAAATATTTGACGCTGTTCTGGAAGTGTTGCAAAATATTTGGTGCTGTTCTGGAAGTATTGCAAAAAGTTGGCCGATCTTGTGGAAGGGTTGCAAAATATTTGACTCTCTACTAGAAGTGTGGTAAAATATTTGACGCTGTTCTGGAAGAGTCGCAAAATATTTGACGCTGTTCTGGAAGTGTTGCAAAATATTTGGTGCTGTTCTGGAAGTATTGCAAAAAGTTGGCCGATCTTGTGGAAGGGTTGCAAAATATTTGACTCTCTACTAGAAGTGTGGTAAAATATTTGACGCTGTTCTGGAAGTATCACAAAATATTGGACGCTGTTCTGGAAGTGTTGCAAAACGTTGGCCGATCTTGTGGAAGGGTTGCAAAATATTTGACTCTCTACTAGAAGTGTGGCAAAATGTTTTACGCTGTTCTGGAAGTGTCACAGAATATTGGACGCTGTTCTGGAAGTGTTGCAATATGTTGGGCGATCTTGTGGAAGGGTTGCAAAATTTTAGACTTTTTACTAGAAGTGTTGCAAAATTGTTGAAGCTCTTCTGGAAGTGTCACAAAATGTCACACTCTCTTCTGAAAGCGTCGTAAAATAATGGACGCTGTTCTGAAATTGTTGCAAAATATTCAATACTCTTCTGGAAGTGTTGCAAAATATTGGACGTTGTCCCGGAAGTGTCGCAAAGTATTGGATCATCTTCTGGAAGTGTCGCAAAATACTGGACGCTTTTCTGGAATTGTCTCAAAATAGATGACGTTTCTCTGGAAGTTTTGCAAAATCTTGAAGGCATTTCTTGAAGTGTTGCAAAATATTTGACATTATTATCATTTTAAATGAAAGAACTGCATCTTACGATACCGCCTTCTAAATATTAGCTTTTGACTACTGTGCGCTATGTATATTTTAGCGTTTCTTTGTTTTTCTCCCTAATTATTATTATTAGTAATTTGAATAGTATTTCCTTTCATCTTAATTTAGTTGCAACAATCCGAACAATGTAAATAGCGTAAATATTTGCAATGCGTCATCTCAGAAATATAAACAGATCCTGAAACCCGGAGCATACATCGGCCAAAACATCGTGAATATAAAAATAAACACGTGGACAATAGTCCGAATGATGTAAATAGTGTAACTAGTTACAATACCTCATCTCAGAAATATGGAGATATCCTGAAGAAGGCTGGAGCGTACAACAACCGAAACGCCGTGATGATGGCAATAAAGATTAGGACAACAGTCCGAACAATATAAATAGTATAAATACTTACAATATCTCATCTCAGAAATATTGACAGATCCTGAAGAAGGCCGGAACGCGCAACCACCGATGCGTCGTGAATATGACAATAAACATGAGGACAGTAGTCCGAACGATGTAAATAGTGTAAATAGTTACACTACCTCATCTCAGAAATATCGACAGATCCTGAAGAAGGCCAGAGCGTACAACGACCGAAACGTCGTGAATATGACAATAAACAAGAGGTCCGAACGATGTAAATAGTGTAAATAGTTACAATACCTAATCTCAGAAATATAGACATATTCTGAGGACGGCCGGAACATACAACGGCCTAAACGTTGTGAATATGGCAATAAAGATGAGGTCAACAGTCCGAACGATGTAAATAGTGTAGTAGTTACGATACCTAATCTCAGAAATATAGACACATCCTGAAGAAGGCCGGAGTATTCAACTGCTGAAACGTCCTGATTATGACAGTAAAGATTAGGACAACAGTCCGGACGATGTAAATAGCATAAATACTTACAATATTTCGTCTCAAAAATATTTACAGATCCTGAAGAAGGCTGCAGTGTACAATAGTCGAAACGTCATCTCTGAAATATTGACAGATGTCCAAGAAAAATTTATAATTATGATAAAAAAAGACAGCTGACATAATGAAACGCAAAATGGAGACGATGAGGAACTTATCTAAATTCTTTGGGGAAAATAGTAGAAAAGTTAAACGATAAAGACGTCTGGAAAGTACATAAAAGAATACGGATAAAGTCCTTTTAAGAATTTCTTCATGTAATCGATACCTTAGTTGTATCGATAGTGCTTATACCTTTGCAACGAATCGGTCGATCCTGATTTACTCATGTGAATTGCGATGCCGAACTGATCTCCGGTCTACGTCCAATTCTCACTCGTGTCCAAGAATTCGCTTGGTCACTGTGAAGGTCAAATCCGAGTCAATGGCATCGACCATCAACCTAAACTGTGTAGAAGGTGTGATGGATAAATTATTGATTAATTTAAGCAAAAAATGAAAATAACACTGTCGATTTATTTTAATAGATATTAACAAAATTACACAAAAATATCTTGAAATAAAGATGAAATTTATTCAATAAAATCGACATTGGATTCAACCACTGCCCCCAGACGACTTCGTAATCGCCTGCAACTCTTTTGGACGGTCTCCTTGTTTAAGTTGGTGAATGCTGCCACAATTCTTGCTTTCAGTTCATCTTTAATATTACAAAGAATATTGTTGGTCTCTCGCTCACCTGCGCCCCACAAATGATAATTAAGGAGGTTGCAGTTTACGGAGTTAGCTAGCCAGACATAAGGTGCGATGTTGTTGCAGAAATTGTTTTGGATGACATGACTGGGTTCTCCAGCTTGTATGGCATGTTGCAAGCTATGTTGACAGATATAGGGACTTCCAGCAGTCACCCTCTTGACCCAGGGCAGCACAATCTCCTCAAGACACGATGTAGGCCCCCGTGTTGAGTCGAGCCCTCAGCAACAAATTCGGGAGTTCCTTTCTTATCAGAAGCATCAGAATGAGTTTTCCAAGCTGCTGTAACTTCGTAATCACTATTAGACTCATCCGACTCTTTTCGCATCCCCTGCACTGTCCTCAAATTGATATCCAAAAACTCAGAAATAATCGTATTGGAGCTTCCGCTGCTAATACCAAGCAGTACAGCAAGGGGTTTCCAAATTTCTGGCGGAGTGAATTACGTGAGGGTGCTCTTTTTTTTTGTTCTGACAGACGGTGTCCAACTGACCTTGCTATACTGTGCAGTTAACAAAATCAAAAACAAAAAATGCGCATGCGCGAAATTAAAAAAATGTAAATGATAACAATTTACCCATCACATCCTGTAGTCGGAAGGGTTTACCAAACGTACAGGTTAAGGGTAACGCATCTCCCCGTCCACCGGTACGAGTGGGCCATCACCCACTTACCGCCTGGTCGTAGGAGCTAGGTGAACGGCTTCTTAGAGGATGGACGTGTTACTATCAACTTCCCCGGTGTAAACCATTGCACTATTTTGACTTAAATGTTACCATGAATCACAAGTATCTACTATATTCCAAAAATAAGGTGTGGCGACAACAGCCGGTCAGTTAAGTGTCATATGTGATACATATTTGGACGGTCATGTCTTTTTCGATTCATGGTTGACTAGGCAGAAGCTATTCTCGCAGTAAGTTGCTATTTCTTTTTGGGGTAGACTGGTTGCCAACCAAGGCTATAGAACCCATTCTCTTCGGCTATTCAACATATAGCATTCGCGGAGGAGCGATAAAATCACCCATGCGCTATACACGATTAGGCAACCATGTCTCTCTCGATATATGGCTGACTCGGTAGAAATTTTTCCCGCAGTTGGTTGTTATTTCTCTCTGGGGTCGACTGTTTGCCAACAAAGGCTATAGGACCCAGTCTGTATGAGAATTCCTCAAATCTTTTTGTAGTGGAAATCTGGTTGTTAGTAAAAACCCGATCTCTGTCTGATTCCTCAATGAGCGCAACTATTTATGAAAATAAGCTTAAATCTAAAGTTTTGATCGGTGAAAAAGCGTTAGGCGGGTCTATTGTTACTAGTGTGTGTCGTGGGTTGGGAGTGAGAGTGTAAACATTGAGTTGTAGGTTGAGAAGGAGGTAAGACCTCTCGTGTGTAGCAAGTTGTAGTAAAAATTGGCGGACCACGTGGTCGAGTGTTGAAAGACGGGCTATGGTTAAAATATGATGTGCTTAAAAGGAAGAAAGGGAAAGAGAAGGAAAGAAAAAAAGAGAAGAAAAAAGGAAATATATAATAAAAAACTATTATTAAATAAAATAAAATGAAAAGAAAAATGAACAAAGAAAACTATATATAAAAATTTGGAAATCTATTAAGAAAAAGTGTGTAATAAATATTAAATTTATATATATATAAATTTAATATTTATTAAATTTTATTTAATATTATATTATATATATATATATATATATATATATATATATATATATATATGAATTTAATATATATATAAATATATGAATATTCAATATTTATATATATATATATATATATATATATATATATATATATATATATGAATAAGGCATATTTTTGGTAACGTGTATTCATTCAAACATGTTTGATTAAATAGAGCCGACAGAGTCTGTCTGTATAATTTTTACTTTGCTTCTCCAATTTAAGGTGTTCAGTATTCCACTCGACGTTGTAAATAAACTCCACGAAGTTCATATTTTGTTATTTCTGTACAAGTAGTTTCGACTTTCTCAGGTCTGTCCTGGGTATGACGATAAACTACATCCGGTAGCAAGACTTCTGTTCGGGAAACTTTTTCCCTTTGTCTGTATCCAGGTAATAATTTTTCAGACGATGGACATTTGGAATGGTTTAGCGTGATGTCATGGGTAACGGCTATTGGGAATGAAAATTTAATCTATCTATCTATCTATCTATCTATCTATCTATCTATCTATCTATCTATCTATGTCCAGTATTGTGTTCAAGCACGAAGGTCTGTTACCACTTGATTTAGACCTCAGCGCTCAGTTATATAATTACATACATAACGTATGTAATTATAATATCCTTGATATTGGATACATTTATCCATAAATCTAGCATACATTATATATATATATATATATATATATATATATATATATATATATATATATATGAATTACATAAAAATCAGACTCAATTGTACCCCGTTTATATGGGCATTTCTCTCTTCGGGATAAACGTTTGATATAAAAATGAATCGTAACATTTTTTTCAAAATTTAAAATGAAAAAAGATAGGAAAAGAAGAAAAAAAAGGAAAACAGAGGAACAAACAACAGATAAGGAAAAATGCTCTTAAGAGAGAGACAGAAAAAAAGAAAGAAAAAGAAACACCCAAGTAGAGAGAGGGAAGCGGAAAGACAGAACATGTACAAGTTTAGAGAGAAGTTAAAAGCGGTTGAATGTTAACAATACATACATACATACATACATACACACACACACACACACACACACACACATATATATATATATATTTCCTTATTTGTTATATATATATATATATATATATATATATATATATATATATATATATATATATATAACAAATAAAAATATATATATATATATATATATATATATATATATATATATTTCCTTATTTGTTATATATATATGTGTATATAAATATATATATATATATATGCATATATATATATATATAACAAATGAGGAAATAATATATATATATATATATATATATATATATATATATATATATATAACCTTACCTTGACTTGACATCTGTGAATGTAACTGAGATATTGATACAAATTATTAACACCTCACGCTCCTTTTGGTTAAACTATTGCTCTAGCCGTTACCATAGAAATTTTGATTTCAATAATGAATATGCTTATAAAACGCGTAAATTTCAGAAATAAGTTATTTCCAAAACAAATTTCGCTTAAAGATGGAACGGAGCTTAGTATTTTAATTCAATTTAATTTAAAGGATTATATTGAAGTTTTCGGCTTTTGTTTTGAAACATGAAAACGCTTATGTAGCGTGCTAGAATCATATTTTTTAATTAAATAATTATATATATATATATATATATATATATATATATATATATATATATATATATATATATATTATTAAATATAACAGATAATGAATGTTTATTATGTCTGATCATGAGCCGTTCTAAACTTCGTATATTTACTTTAATTTCGGGTAAAAATAAAGAGAAACAATATCAAATATTTGGATATTTTTTTAAGTTCGTCCTTGATCTCAGCTTTCGGTTCACATGAGCCATCTTCAGGGTGGTTATGTCAACATTTAAACAAAGATTTTCACCATCAACGTTGATATTCTGTTATGTTGACATAGAGGATTACCATGCGACGATAACGATTATATATATATATATATATATATATATATATATATATATATATATATATATATGATTTTATTTTGAATCGAAAAATTTGCTTACTCTGAATTAATTTATCCGTGTGTGATTATTATTATTAACCCAACTATGAAGTTTCGTGAGGCAGATCCCCTTTTCAAGGATTTTTAAATTCTTTTATAAATGCCAGTGACGCTCTGAAGTTGATGTTCAATCGCGTGTTCATCAGTTCGTTCTTAAAATAATGACGCATATATTTCTGACAAGATTATGCGTATATTCAGGTCGGTAGCTGTAAATGGATAAAAAATAGTGTTTAATTAAAACAAAAAAAACAAAAAAAAAAAAAAACAGAGCTTCTAACTTGAATATTAGTATCCGTCAAAAATAATGATTAAATAAAATAAATGAAAAATAACAACATGTCGGTGTTAATCCATTTCCTGAAAATAAATCGTCTTTGTTTACATTAGGATACCATACAGATGTTTCGAAAATCGGCAAAGAGTGTGTTTAAAAAAGGGCTATTCGGTCTCCTTCGTGGCCGAGCGGTTAGACACGTTAAATCCAATGACGCATTCCCTCCCCGTAAGAGATGAAGGTTCGTATCCTAGAGGAGGTGTCATATTTTTCTGACAAGATGTCTCGAATATTCAGGTCGGTAGATGTAGTTGGATAAAAAAAAAATACTGTTTAATTAAAAACAAACCTTCAACTCGATATGAGTATCCATCAATTATAACGTTTAAACAAAACAAATTGAAAATAAAACTCTCTCTGTCCCTCTCTCTCTCTCTCTCTCTCTCTCACACACACATATATATATATATATTTCTACACACACTCATATATAATATTTAGAAAAATAGAGAGGCAACAAAGGTTGAAGTGGATAAGGATGAGGATGAGAAGATACAGGCACAGGGATAGATAAGGGCGTAATCATGAAATAATGGCGGGCCTTAATTGTGAGCAAGCGTTTAATTCCCAAGGGTCCAGTTATGTTTAATGCTGCATGGCTTCGTGTCTTTAACTCCATCTGGGAAGATATTTTTTGTTTGAATTCTTTATTTCTCTGTTTTTAACGTTATGTTGGTCCTCTTCTTCTTTTTGAACTGGACTGCAATAAACGCCATAAACATCATTCATTCATTCATTCATTCCTGTCTACGTTCTTTATTCTTTTTTGTACCCCGTATTCTCCATTTTTCCTTTTAATTTTGAAAACCCAGAGCTTCTTTTTTTCTTTCTTTCGTTTGAGCCTAATTCTTTTTTCTTTCTTTCTTTCGAAACTCCCGACTTTCTTTTTTCTTTCTTTCTTTCTTTCTTTTTACATTTTTCTTTTTTTCTTTCTTTCTACTTTTTCTTTCATTCTTTCTTTCTTTCTTTCTTTCTTTCTTTCTTTCTTTCTTTCTTTCTTTCTACATTTTCTTTCATTCTTTCTTTCTTTCTTTCTTTCTTTTTACTTTTTTCTTTCTTTCTTTTTACATTTTTCTTTCTTTCTTTCTACTTTTTCTTTCATTCTTTCTTTCTTAATTTCTTTCTTTTTACTTTTTTCTTCCTTTCTTTCTTTCTTTTTACATTTTTCTTTCTTTCTTTCTTTCTTTCTTTCTTTCTTTCTTTCTTTCTTTCTTTCTTTCTTTCTTTCTTTCGTTTGGACCTCATTCTTTTTAAAAATTTTTTTCCATCGCCCGATTTTTTTTTTATTGCCGAATTTGTAAACCCTTGTCTTCATTTTTTTTCCTTTGAAGTTTGAAACCTAAGTTATTCTTCTTTCTTTCTTTCTTTCTTTCTTTCTTTCTTTCTTTCTTTCTTTCTGTCTTTTTTGACTTCTGACTTTAGAGAAATCAGGCAAAAGAAGGCCTCCCCTCAAAAAAAAAAAAAAAAAAAAAAACTTCCCCCGCCAACAAAAAAACGATGTTTCTAAGCCGATAAGAGTCGATCATGAAGAAGAAAGCACAAAACTCGAAGAAGAAGAAAAAAGAAAGATGACGAATCGCAAAAATTAAATGCGATACAGCCAATCTAAGGCGTATTGAATGAAAGAAAAAAATAAAAAAAAGCGAAAAAGAAAAGAAAGAAGAGAAAAAAAAAAACTATTACACCGAAAGAAGTGGCCACACGTCAAAGGTCAAGTGGTCATCCTTTCAATTTATACTGCGTGGGGTTGGTCAGGGGCCTTAACCATCAAAGATAAAACAGAGGTCAATCCAGAACGGATATGGAAAAAAAAAAAACTATTTGAAAGTGTAGAAGCCAGTAACGGTCAGCTGACTGTTGGCGCCAGAAGGGCAGAAGGATTTTTTTGGACAAATGCCAGGGTAAGAAAAACGAATGGGTGAAAAATGGAGAAATGTTGATGGCGAATATCTTGAAAAATATTTGGACAAAGATCGAATTTGGTGGCGAGGAGCGAATGCACTCATGGAAAAGGGCGAAATTTAAGCCAGCCAAAAAAATTTCACACAGAGACACACGCACGTATATATGTATAAAAACTTTGTCCGTTAGTATATATATATATATATACATATATATATGTGTGTGTGTGTGTGTGTGTGTGTGTGTGTGTGTGTGTGTGTGTGTGTGTGAAAAGTGTGTGTATATGAATATAAATATATATATATATATAAATTCACAAAATGTTCGCTACACCCCAATCTTTGAATTTCAACATACAGATGCGTATGTATAGACACAGCACCACCCGTATACATACATATGCCATATCCGAAACTGCCAACATATGTTTATATATGTATGAATCCAGACGGACGACTAAGTATGTATATGTGTCTGCGTGCTCAACTAGACGCATGAACATGCATCGATGTTTGCGTCAGTACGATGACATTTCCCCCACCACTTCCACAATAACACCAATACACGCAATCTACATAAACCCAAAATTTTTAAAAAATTAATCAGTTTGTCTGACGATCGCTAAAGCGTGAAACCCAGGGTCACAAACTCACATATATCCAACCAAATATATATATATATATATATATATATATATATATATATATATATATATGTGTGTGTGTGTGTGTGTGTGTGTGTGTGTGTTGTGCATTTGAGCAACAATCTTTCATGTATACATGTTAAAAAGACGATAGACAAGGTACTACGACTAAGGTTTTATTTAATTTTTATGTCTTCGAAAAAGTGTTTCTTTTCTGGACACAGATTGTGTAGTACTGTCTAAATGCTCTGGAATTCCGAGCACTTTCGGCTATATATTAGCCATTATCAAGCATGATTTTATTTTTGCTTTTTAATTGAGCGTGTGGGTTGTGTGTATGTTTCTAGAGTTATAGGGATGTTTTATTTTCCGAACACAGTCAGCGCATTGTGGCCGTGTTGTTAGTTAATGTTATTATTAAGTATTGGCTTTTTCGTTTTTATTGTTAAGGCTTTCATCATTTTTAATATTTTTTTACATCTGGATGAGGTTATTTATTTGTATTTTCTACCAGTTTGTTTCGGATGGAGTAAGTTTATGTGTGTGTTTAAATGGATTGTAATAGAACTGTGATCAGAAAGGCATGTAGTCGTGTAATTATTTATGAATTCGGTTTGATCAGGAACACAGTACCTTAAGGGGCATTTGAACTCATAGATAAAGTTCGTCCGTTGGAATTTTGATTTTGCTGGTGTGGTGTAATTTTTGAGGATAATTTTATCTATTTTAAATGTTTTTAGTAGATAATTATTTCGATTTTTTTGTTCAAGTCAATTGGTGTAGCGTATTTCTTTATGATTTTTCTAAGTGAAGATTAGTCATGTTTGTAGTTGATGTGCATTTGTAGAACATTTTTGTTATTTTTACTGTGTTCAATAATATAATATAATATAATATAATATATATATATATATATATATATATATATATATATATCGCGAAAATTTCAGGAATAAGTTATTCCAAAAAAAACTTCGCTTGAAGATGGAACAGAGCTTGGTACTTTAATTCAATTTAATTCAAATAATTATATTGAAGTTTTCGGCTCTTGTTTTGAAACATGAGACCTCTTATGTTGCGTGTTGGAATCATATTTTTAAATAACTAATTATATTTACGCTCTACTTTTGTATCGAACACTATTTTTTAAAAATAATAACAAAAATACTAAAGAACTTTGGATTATTTACCTAATGAGTTCTTTCCTATTTTCTATATATTTTTCACACACACACACACACACACACACACACACACACACACACACACACACACACACATATATATATATATATATATATATGAAAAGTGTGTGTATGTACAACTTCACCCATCCTTATATACATACATATGTCAAATCCGAAACTGTCCACATATGTTTATATATGTATGAGCCCCGGCGGACGAGCGAGTGTGTATGTGTGTCTACGTACATCATCGGGTGTACGGATATGCATCTATGTTTGCGTTAGCATGAGTGACATCACGACGACGATTCCCCCCCATTCCCATAATAACAGCAATACACGCAATCTACATAAACCCAATCCGGAACCAACAGCCAAGACACCAGCAAATGATATTTGATTATAGTGAAGTTTTTGTGCAGAACCAACCTCACTTTTTGAAGGGCCGAATACAGGAAGCTGGTGCGCTACGTGCTACAAGGTCCCCAAACGGCCCTACGCAGGTTTTGAATTCAGAGTTGTCCTTCCCCTAGACCAGTTGCCATCCAAGGCTATAGAACCCAGTTTGTCCTGCTATTTTCACATAGCTGGAAGGAGAAGAAAAGGGTATTAGCACGTAACGGATTCGACTGGAATTCGAACTCAACACTCCGATTTCTTAATCCAATCACCGCTATTCATTACTCCATATATATATATATATATATATATATATATATATATATATATATATATATATATATATATATATATATATATATATATATATATTATATATATATATTATTTGGACACGCACACATAATTGTTTTTGTCCGTATGTAAGAATTTCTAATGAATAATTATTGCTCTATCCTTGGTATTGAACCCTCTTTTGAATTAATGCTGTGAACGTTAGAATTTATATTATCTTCGTTTTCATACATTCGCGTATATATATATATATATATATATATATATATATACTTGTGTATTTGGGCAACAATCCCTCTTTTATACAAGTTTCATTAAAAACGACTGATAAGGTTAAGGAAAGTATCATTGATAAAAAAGAAAAAGCCACCACTCCATAAAATCATCTATGAGCATGGCCACAATATGCTGTCCGTGTTTTGAAAATAAAGCATTCTTATAACTCTCGATACATATATAAAACAATCCATTAAAAATAAAATCATCCTTGATAAAGTCTAAAAATATAGCTGAAATCGCTCGGATATACAGATCATTCGGACAATTTATACATAATTTTAATTGTAAAAATGATGAAACTTTGCCGCCAATCTAATACAGTGCCTAGATGATTCAAAGGTATCAAAGAGCAAAGTTCCATGAAATTATTTCTAGAAAAGAACAGTTCATTTACGTTTTGGTGGACTATCCCTTTTTAAGGTTCTTGACAAAATCCAAAGAAGAATCTGCAATTTAATTGAGCCTGACCTGGCATCTCGTCTCCAGTCACTTTCTCAGGTACGAGATGTGGCTTCCCTCTGTCTTTTCTGCTAATATTTTCATGGCCCAAACTCTCACTACTCTGTTTCCCTAACGCCCCGACCACATGAATTTAAACGTGCAATTAGATTGGCATATAGAAAATTAAAGAAAAAAAAAAAAAAACAGAACAACACAGAAAGATAAAAAGAGAAATTAAGAGAAAATGAAAAAGAAAAGGAAGGAAATAATATTGAAAGAAAGAGAATTATAAATTAAAATGTGATAATAAAGCAAGAAACATGAAAAAGAAAGAAAAAAAGGAGAATGAAGAAAAGGAGAATGAAGAAAAGAACAAAACAAATAAAAAAAACTGAAGAAAAACAACCAAAGAAAACAAGCAAGCAAGAAAGAAAGAAAGAAAGAAAGAAAGAAAAAAGAAAAGAAAGAAAAGAAACAAAGACAGATAGACAGAAAAAAAAGGGGGAAAGAAAGACAAAAAAAAAAAAAAGGAGAATGAAGAAAAGAACAAAACAAATAAAAAAAACTGAAGAAAAACAACCAAAGAAAACAAGCAAGCAAGAAAGAAAGAAAGAAAGAAAGAAAGAAAGAAAGACAGAAACAAAGACAGATAGACAGAAAGAAAGAGGGAAAGAAAAAAAGGAGAATGAAGAAAAGGAGAATGAAGAAAAGAACAAAACAAATAAAAAAAACTGAAGAAAAACAACCAAAGAAAACAAGCAAGCAAGAAAGAAAGAAAGAAAGAAAGACAGAAACAAAGACAGATAGACAGAAAGAAAGAGGGAAAGAAAGAAAGAACAAAAGAAAGAAAGGAGAATGAAGAAAAGAACAAAACAAATAAAAAAAACTGAAGAAAAACAACCAAAGAAAACAAGCAAGCAAGAAAGAAAGAAAGAAAGAAAGAAAGACAGACAGAAACAAAGACAGAAAGAAAGAGGGAAAGAAAGAAAGAACAAAAGAAAGAAAGACAAAAGTAAAAAAGAAAGAAAGAAAGAAAGAAAGAATGATGAAGGTAGGAAAATGAAGTAAGGAAGAAAATCAACATGAGATATACTAAAAGAAAGGAAAAAGACAGAAACAGAAAGAATGAAAGAACGAACGAACGAACGAAAAAAAAAGAAAGAAAGAAAGAAAGAAAGAAAGAATGATGAAGATAGGAAAATGAAGTATCGAAGAAAATGAACATGAGATATATTAAAAGAAAGGGAAAAGACAGAAAGAGAATGAACGAAAGAAAGAAACAAAAAAGTTAATGAAAAACGAATCACAGTACGACTCGGAAAGATAGAAAGAAAAATTCCGAAAAGATAATGAAGAAAAAGAAAAAAAGATATGGAAATAGAAAGATAAAGAAAGAAAATGAATATAGAAAGGAACAAAATATAAAGGAAGCAAGAAAGAAGATGACGAAAGAAAGAAAGAAACAGAAAAAAAAGAAGGAAAGAAAACAATGGAAATAAGACAAAGGCAGAAACAAAGAAAAAAAGAAAGAAGAATGAAAAGTGAAGTAAAGAAGAAAATGTATATAGAACTGAAGAAAAAAAGGAAGCAAGAAAGATAATGATGAAAGGAAGAAAGAAACAGAAAGAAACAAAAATGAATGAATGAAAGAAAGAAAGAAAGAATTACTGAAAGAAAGAATGAAAGAAAGAAAGAAGAAAGAAAGAACGATGAAAAAAAAATGAAAATGTATCAGGGAAGAAAACAAATACAGAATGGAGAAAGGGAAAGAAAGAGAAAAGAAATCAAAACAGAAGAAAAGAGGAGAAAAAAAGAAAAGAAAGAAAGAATGAAGAACAAAGTCAAAATGTATCAAAGACGCAAACAAACATAGAATGGATGAAGAGGAAAGCAATAGAAAAGAAAGCAAAATAGAAAATAGAAAGAAAGGAAGAAAGAAATAGACTTATGATGGAACAAAATATGTCGCTCAAACACAAGCTATTTAATTACGGATTGGTCGAAACAAATCCTTTATCACATGTCTAAATAGATTCTCTTGAAATGATATTAATGACGGACATCTTACCTGGCGGCAGCTTTTGCAAATGTCCAATATAGGATAGAGACCTAAAATACGCTTGTTCTTTCAAAACATTAAGGACACGAGTAAATGTTAAACATAAATCGAGGAATTACAGCGGGTGAATAGTTCCGTATTTATGCCCCCAGAATATTAACAAAAACGAAAAATTTACTTCCTTAAATATGAATGATAAAAAACTGAAAAAGCATCCTACCTAAGAGCGATGTAAAACTGAGTATCCAAGAAGACATTGGAAGTGAATTGGGATTATTTTGGAAACGGCAGCTTAATAATAATAATAATAATAATAATAATTGTAGTTGGAGCCCTAGGACTGGTTGGAAAAGATTGCAGTAGACTAATTGAAGGGATCCCTGGAAGTCCATGCCTCAAGGAGATACAAAAAATTGTTCTGACAAGTACAGCCCACACCTTACGAAGAGCTTTATCTATGTAATTTAATTCTTTTTTTTTTTTTTTTTTGTCAGTGGAAAGTGTTATGACGCCATTTCTAACCTTAGGTCCCTGGGCGGGACCCGGAAAGAAATGTGTAAACGCCAGAAATCAAAGAAAATAAAAATAATAATAATAATAATAATAATAAATAATAATAATGTTCCTGAAGGCTCCATTCAAGTACGACTGTGCTAAGAATACTTCCGTCATTAAATAAAACAAAGAAATACAAAGCTCTTTGGATGCAATAGATACTCAAGTCAACAAATATCCAGAATCTACCCCGGCTGCAGCAAAGGAAATTAAGTTACTGACGAAAGCTGTTTATATGAAAACTCTTGAACAAAAATGGAGATTTAAAACCCTTGTATGGAAAAAGTACCCAAAGCGTCTGGATGAACACGACGTTGATGTTCGTCAAATACATCAATGGCTTAGAAGCAGCGGTCCTTAACGGGGAGACAGAAGACATAATTAGGGCAGCATAATAACTACAAGGCTAAAATTCCGCCTGTCGCTTATGCCATAAATTTAATGAAACTGTTGTAAACACAGTATCAGGTTGCCCAGTCCTTGCTTATAAAAAACATTATTAGACATGACAGGCTAGGACAATATATTCATTGACATGTATAATCGGACTATGGTACTGAAATCCATGATACTCACTACGAACACCACCCGGATGACGTTACAAATGGCGACGGAGTGACTATATTGCGGAATTTTCCCATCTTCACAGACAAGAAAATTCAAGCAAATAGCCGTGACATAGCTATAAAAGATTTAAAAAAAAAAAAAAAAAGGAACCTGCCAACCAATTGATATGACTTGCCCTCAGGATTCGAATGTTTCTAACAAAAGAATTAAAAAAAAACCTGTTAAATTATAATGATCTGCAAATCGAAGTCACAAAAATGTGGAAACTTAAAACAACAATTATCACTGTTGTGATAGGGGTATTGAGTATGATAAAGAAGGCTACCGGAAATCATGTGTGTAAAATTCCTGGATACATCAGCATCCCAAATCACTTTGCGCGGAACTGCACATACACGCAAAACTCTCTCCATCAAAACGAGATGTCCCAAATGTGCACAGATAACTCTCCATCAAGGGCCTTTTTATTCATAGACACCCGGAGGGGATTTGGCAATTAGGCACTTAAAATTACTCTCTGACAAGATGATATCATAAATAATAATAATAATAATAATAATAAAAACAGAATATGTTTTCTTATTGACAAAGCATTTCCTGCAGATTGTCATGTATATTAGAAAATACACATGGAAGTGGAAATCTCCAGTGTGTCACATGAGGACATCAATAATTCCAGTTGTACTTGGAGCACTCGGATTGATTGGAAAAAGGTTCCTATAGACTCATTAAAGGGAATCCTGGTAGCCCATGCTTTAAAGAGATACAAACCATTGTACTTACAAGTATCGCTCACACATTACGAAGAGTTTTAGCTATGTAAAATATGTTTTGATCTTAGTTTTTTTTGTGTTTTTTTTTTACAATCTCATGAAAACATTTCTGACCTTAGGTCTCTGATTGGGACCCGGAAGGAAATGAGTATAGCACAGAAACCCAAGAAATAATAATAATAATAATCTTATATTGAATACTGCGTAGAATTAAAAAAAACAGAATATCAGCCATAAACACCTTGGCTGTCCCTGTGATGCAATAGAGTTTCAACATCCTTATCTGGACCGTAGCTGACATTAAGCGAATGGACGCCAAAATGAGAAAGCTTCTTGCCTGCCACCGGATGCATCATCTCAAAGCTGATGTTGATCGTCTGTATGTACCCAGATCCAAAGGAGGCAGAGGATTAGTTCAACTAGAACTGTCCTACAAAACTACAACAATGAGCTTTCAAAGAAACTACAGACTGGATGATGATTTATGCGGAGTTAAAGTTAAGCGAGTTAAGAGTGTTGTAATTGCGGAAGTATCCTCTTGGGAGTCGTTTCCACAAACCAGCAGTTCATAGGAAGAAGCTGTTCGAGTGGAACTTACATCTAACCAATGGAATACGAAGAGAATGGGGTAGGCTCGCTTAAATTGTGCTTAACATGGTGGGTATTAGCCGTTCGTCTGAGAGATTTCCATGGAAGTAGCAAAAGAGAAGCGAGAGGTTTGCGACTTTTCGTCCGTGGGAAAAGGGGTTGTAGGGTGGAAAATACAAGGGCAGGGAGACACATTTTGACGCTATCAAGGCTGGAAAATAAAGATGCTATATATATATATATATATATATATATATATATATATATGAAGATTTCTCTGATTTAACCGCAATAATAAATCACATGAAAACAGATACATAATACTACCGGCCAATTCTGTCACGTCCACTATCCAGAATAACCTATCCCATCTAAATAATCTTGAAATAGTCACAAACACTTCCAAAACCATTATAGATATAGTAAGATCTTCAAACAATAATAGCACTAATATTTCTGAAGCAGGCATTTATAAAATAAATTGCCAAAACTGTTCATCCCAATATATTGGAGAAACAAGTAGAAGTTTGAAAAAACGCATTTATGAGCACAAAAGATACCTCACAAAAAACAACTTAGCTAATGCACTAGTCATACATAGAAATAAATTCAACCATAATTTTGATTTTAAAAATGCTACACTCATAAAAACAGAAAATAACTCACTCAGAAGGAAAATTCTGGAGAGTGCCGCCATAGAAAATTACCCAATCTATTAGATTATTAATCTACGCCCAGGTTTTTTCCCCATTTCACTTTTCTTAACAAAATTAATGCTCTTACAAACAAATATACACAACAGATTCATAAAATCAAAAGAAAATGGTTGAATACATCAACACAGATATAATGACAATATTCTCCACACGTGACAAATACTGACGTTATTTTTCAGTTAAAAATATGAAAATAGCGTTTCTCTACATTCCAGTTGCTAGGTACATTTTGTTTTTGTTTTTATTAGTTACTTTAATCAATTAATTTCATTTTCGTATTTTCCACATTGGACGAAAACGCGTCAGCAATTACCAGTTTTCCTATTGTCATTTTTATTCATATATATATATATATATATATATATATATATATATATATATATATATATATATATATATATAGTTGTAACACCAAAATTGTACAAATCGTGGCACATAAATGACTGACTGATTACAATGTCTATATAACTTTTTACTTTACTGGGATATGTATACATTTATATATATATATATATATATATATATATATATATATATATATATATATATATATATGTGTGTGTGTGTGTGTGTAAAGATGGGCACTCATATTCGAGAACACCTGACAACAAGCGCAGCTAGCCAGTCCCTATTGGAGACGCTTGCCCAGGCGCATTTTGTGTTTGTTCAACACCCACAAAGATCACTTATGGGTTATACTGCAACTATGCTGGGTAGATTTTATTTTCAGTTTCTGGGAAAGATCATGTTATCTAGCGGGATCAACAATTTGAACCAGGCCAGCACACTCAAGCCCTCGGCCACGGGCACTTCGTGCCAGCACAGCTATCTACGGCCCCCAAGGGACCCGTCTAACCAATTTCACTCATAAGGCTTGCCTGAACCCGTGAAATGGTTTTCAGGCACTTTGCAAAGGTGACGCACGCTGGGATCGACCCTCCATCCGATAACATCAAGAAGTCACCTT